AATTCTATTAAAAATTATGACAATTTATTGTCAACAAATTTTTATCTCTATGAGGGGATTAAAGAATATAGGTTTTTAATTGTGTTCATTCAATAAATGCTTTATGCATTTATTGAATGAAAGTTTTAAAAACTTTTTTTTTAAAATTAAAATTTAAAACCATTTATTTTAATATTAAAATTATTTGGGCCAAAAAAAAAGTATCCACCACAATAGAAAAAAAAAACACAACAATGTATTCATTAAATCAGAATGCATAATTGTTTTATAAGGTTTGTTTCCATGCTTTTGTGATAAAGACTATGTGTTCTTGTTCTAAAGATTCTCCTACATTGCTTGCAATTTGGTTTGTTATTGCGAACTGTTTTATACTTGCCACCAGCAAAAAATAAAAAACAAACCTTTTTTTACATCCTTTTTTAAACTGTAACTAGTTGTTATGCTTAGCACACAACAGAACTGGTAAACAACTATTTATGGTAAAGTAAGAAAATTTTTTCTCATTTAATCAACTTACAGCATACAGACCAAGGAAAAAGCCAAGACTCACAAACAAAATAATGCATGCCAGGCATAAAAGGGCTGTTGAGCATGAAAGTTGGACACAAGAAGATTAGTCTTAGGTAATCAATAATTTAGCTTTCTGTTAGATCTCTGATAGTATTGATTTCTTGATAATGTCCAGACAGTCAGAAGAAGGCCTGCAGAGGAGTTTTAGCCTGAGTGTTTTAAGAAAACAATGAAGTTCCCTACTAAGAGCATGGTATAGGGAGCGATATCTATCTATATACAACCCGCCTACATATTTTGTATAGAATAATGAACCAAACAAAGTATACAGAGGTGTTGGAGAAACATTTGGTTCCTCAAGTCAGAGACTGGTTCACTGTCAAGGACTTTATGTTTCAACAGGATTGTGCTCTTTGCCATATGGACAAGTTGTCAATGAGATGGTTTCAAGACAATAAACTCTCTGTACTCAAATGGCCTGGGAATTCATTAGATATGATCCCAATTGAGAATTTATGGGACATTTTGAAGGACGAAATACACAAAGTTCCAATTACTACAAAAGCACAGTTTTTAGAGAGGTTAATTAATAGTGAAGAACTCAGACGAGTTGAAGCGCCCAAAAATTTTTGTTTTTTTAACTTTTTTTTTGTTTTTTTTTTATGAAAAATGAAAAAAAAAATTTAGTTTTAAATGCAGTAGTATATAAATAATTCTCAGTTTAATTTATTTCGATATAATATATAAAGTAAAACATGGTAAAATGAAATAGCGTGTAGAACAAAATAGTTATGACAATGTTTATTGTAGAGAATATTTTTCTGAATAAGATTGTATTAAATTTTATTTTTAATAAAAAAAATTTTGCTATAAATTTATAAGTTTTGGAATGCTTAATAAGATTTTTTTTATTTGTTTGAAAAGGGAACTTAAAACTCTTGGAAATTAAATTTGGTATTATTGAACTTAAAATGTTTACTGATACAACCTTTTATGCTGATAAAGAATCTTTTTACAAGAATAACTTTGCTATTTAGGAAAAAAAGTTATGAGTTATAAACTGAGTGTTGCGGGGTTGAATGAAATACGCTAATAAATAAATACAAAGCAATAGTTTATTTCTTAAAAGCGGCTTTTTTTTATTAGGTCTCAAGTGACCAATAAATCTCCAACTATAAATTTTTTGTATAAATTTCAATGAACAAATTTTTCTAACTGAAATTAAATAACTTTTACTTACTGCTTTTATAAAATGGTTCTAATAAATGAATAAAATTTGCTAGTTACTCTTTTGTTAATTTGCTTACCAGCTCACTCGTCGCACATTCTACAGCCACTAGATGTTGGTGTTTATTGCCATGTCAAAAGAGTTGGGCCCAAATTACTTTAACAGTTTTATGCAGAGACAAAGTTTAGCAACTTATCAAAAGAATGTTTCAGTCATCTGCAAAAAAAACTTTTAAGCTTTGATGAAGTTTTTACACGTACCCAGATATGTTGAGTGGAAACAAGCCAGTATTCTGGGTTTCAGAATACTGGCTTGTTTCCACTCAACATCAATAAAATCGATCAGTCAAAGTTGCAAATTTCTAATACAATTGAAACAATGAGATCTGAACCTGACCCTTCATCATCTTAACAAACAGAATCTTTGATAGTATAAACAGAATCTATCTGTGCATAATTGAAGCATTCAAAAGATTCAATTTAGTTGTCAAGACTTGATTTGGATACATCCTTCAGTCGGATTTCGCTGAAAAAATTGAATATTTCAAAAAGTGTTACCTAATGATAACTGGTGCAAGCGTTACACCCAAAATTCACGCCGTCTTCTGCCACATCAAGGATTTCATCAGTCACAAAGGATCCCCTTGGGGCCCTATAGTGAACAAACTGTCGAAACTTCTCATCAAGATTTTTATCAACATTGGTCAAGGTATAAGCGAAATAATAATTATCTAGAGTACAAAGAAAGATTGTTGCGCTGCATAATTGATCTAAACAGTAAGAACATCATTTGAGTTATTAGAAATTAGGCTGCTGAAATTTATATTTTATGGTGTAAAATGAATATTTTCACCATCTTTAAAAGTAGTATTATAGAGTATTTGTATTAAAAGAGTACATGGAGCTATTTATTAATAATCTTTTAGTGGAGAAAATCAAAAAAACATTTCTTAAAATGTAATTAGATATTTGATGGTAATAAAATGTAAAAAATAGGGTTTAAATAGTTTTTACTTCATTTTAAAAGGAGGTCAATACAAAATATTTTAGGAGATCCACTTTTTTTTTTTTTTGTTTTACTAACTGGTAGTCCTTTGACCAGGTTTTGCACTTTTTTTAACTTTTTTTAGACAGCAGTTTATACCTTAAGAAATGTTGGTATATTCAAGCAAAGCATACATGGTCGTCAATGCCGGGGAGGCTAGGGGGTCATTGTCCTTCACTACTTTTTTTTTTTTGCGAGGATTTTTGTTTTACAAATATAGGCAATTATTTTAGAAATTATGGATTTTATTTTAGAAATTGAGGGGTTGACCCCTCCACTTTGAAGGCCGTGTCAACACTATTAGCATAAGACTATTTAAATCACGCTTTAAGTAGAAAATCACTATTTTGGTCTATAAAATAAAAACTGTACATGTAACGATAAAATAATTATAACAAAAATTGTTGGTATTGCATAGTAGAACACTTATGTAACAGTTATTTTAAAAATAGTGAGCGAATTTCAAAATAATCGGTAACGCTTTGAGGTATAAGTAGAAAAAAACTGACAAAAATTCAACTAAAACTGCAATAAACCCTAAACCAGTCATCCGATCAGGCTGAAATTTTGTCCAGAATTTGGTGTGACTATTGGCTACATATGTACCAATTTTTATCAAATATTGAGTGGTTCGAATTCTACAAGTGTTTTTATTGGCGTCATCAAACTAAGTCAAAATTTGACTTAGTTTGAACATTCAAATTAAATTATTTTCCATGGACAAAATTAAATGATTTCAAAATTTGCATCACAGAGTACTTTCATGTGTACGCTAACTTTCCGTATAAGTGGCAATCTTGGGACAGCTAGGTAGGCATTATAAGGATCCATGCTAACCTTGCAAAAAGAAATAAAATATTTGCTTTTTCAAAAGTTTTTTTTAAACAGCGTTTTTAAACATCCATTCAGAGTAAAAATAATTTTTGTTCTTTGGTAATTTTTTTTTTTTTTTATTTTAATTCACCTCCTTAAGGCCGAGACGGCCACTACAGACAAGGAGGCTACTTATTTGTGGCTATAACCCTTTTAATTTTATTTAAGAGTAAACTGCTTTTGAAAATAAACTAACTAAAGTAAGAAATTTTAGTCCTCGTAACAATCGCATGAGTTTAATTTTTGAATGAATGAACTTTTGATCTTTAGCTTGCTATTTTAGATTATGCGAGGAAAACGAAAAAACAAAGTGTAAACTTTTTCAGACAGTTTTGTTTCTTTTCAATAATCTTTTTAAAATAATAAAAAAAAGGTTACAATAACTTATTAAAAGTTTTATTTAAATCTGTTTAAAATAACCCATAGTAAATGTAATTTATTTATTAAAATGTATTTTTTTAAATTATTCTTAATAGTTAAAAAAATATATTTTTTTAAATATATGTTTTTTAAAATATAGTATGGTTTTTAATCAAAGTCATATTACAAATTATTAACCTTTAGTAAAAGTTAAACAGATTTACTAGTATTTAAATCAATATTTTAAGTTTAAAATAATAGAAAATAAGTTTATTAAATGCTTTTTTTTTTTATTCGAATAGTTTATTAAATACGTTTATTAAATGCTTATTGAATTTGTTTATTAAATGCTTATGTTTTTAACTCAAATTCAAGACGTAAAACTATTTTGTTGATTTTACAAATATTACGTGATATGTAAATATATTATGTAATGTAAATATTTATTAAAAATTGTTTAAAATATTTTTAATTATTAATTTTAAATTGAATTTACTAAAATATAGTTAATAACTGTTTAAAACACTTTAAACAATTTTCAATAATTATTTACTATATGCAACAAAAGCGTTAATTAAAATCTGAAGGTAAATAGTTTTCTTTTATCTAAAGTAACATCGTCCACCAGTAAATTCATGTATTCAAAAGATTTAATCATAGGCATGCCCAAGATAGTGAAAGCATTGAAAGCTGCTAAAGGTGGTCAAACTAAGTATTCAAAACTTTGATATAACTGAAATATATAATCTGTAACTTTATTTTTATGTTATGAATTTTTTTGAAGTAAAAAACTTGATTATTATATAAAAACTGGAAAACCAATAATAATTTTTCCAGTACTAAATACATACATACATACATACATACATACATACATACATACATACATACATACATACATACATACACACAATATGTGTGATATGTGTATATATAAATAAAATAATATATACTTAAAAAATAATAAGCTAAACCTAAAACATACCTTTAAACCTTTGATAAACTTTTTGGTCATTGCTAGTGCATTTTTATTTTGTCCAAAAATATCGCTACCACGAACTGTTGCCCCACAATATTCTATGATATTTAAAACAAGCTAAAAATAATTTTAAAATATTAAATGAAAAAAAAATTTTTAGCAAAAAGTTTAAGGAGGAAAAAATCAGCAATTATACCTTAAGAAGTTGATCATCGACACCCCTTTTTTGCAAATCATTTCGCAAAGCTTTTATTTCATTATTTGGAGTTCTTTCATATCGAAGAGCGTATAACAAAACCAAACGTGTTGCATCTATATGACGAACTTTTTGGTTTAAAATAAGTTTCCGTATGCTCTAAAAAAACACACAAAAACTGTTATTTTGTAAGCTATGTAATAAAAAATTAGGAAAAAACTTTTTTTTTATAATAAAAATATACCTCATTAAAAACTTATTTATAAGCGATATCTTATCCAAAATCTGACCTGTAAATGCAAAGCATGATCAGATCTGCACGCTATGTCTTGCTCCAGTTCTGAGACTTCTAGTAAACAATGATCACTGACTAATCTTGAAAGTTCACTAACAACAGTAACATGCTTGGAAACAGTTCCTGACATCTTGCGAAACTGTGGATAGTTTTCCACAAATGCCTTAAAATGATTGTATTTCTTATTTAGATGCCTTAGTACAACACTATATATTCATATATTATTAAAAAACCATACTTATAAATTTTTAGATTTTGTAAATCATATTAAATAAAAAATAAAAAACTTTATTGAATATAATATTTTTTTGGTTTTTTAAAATATATAATATTAAAAATAATAAGTATTTTACCTTTCATATTTTGTTATTTATTTTAAATATTTAGTTAAGTTTATGAGTTTAACCATTCTAAAATTATCCAATATATTTCACACACTTTTCAACTCGACAGCAAAAATTTTGATAGAGTTTCTACATACTTTATTCATTAGACACTAATGGTTTACTTTTAATTTTTGACAGTTTACATACATAAAACTATTTCTTTAAATGAAAACTACTGCATGTAATGTGCTATAAAAATTGTTAAACAATGTATATAGTAGACTCAGTGTTAAATACTTTCTATGTAAAGGGTAGGTTGTACTCAGCACAACCAATATTTTATTATATCACAATGCTTAATCAATTGACTTGTTGGATATTGTTTAATTGTTTAGCTTGTTAGTTGTTGTTTTATTGGTTGACTTATTTTGCTTGTAAAATTATAAAATGTTTTTAAAAAAAATACAGCTTGTAAGAATAGCTGTTTGAATAACTATAATTATTTTTTTGAAAATTATAAAAAAGTTTAAAAAAATTTAAATATGAACTTAATTTAATCACAATTTATAATTTATTTTTTCTAACTTTTTTTATAACAAATATATAAATATATTTATTAGCAAAAGTAAAAGAGAACAAAAGTTTTCAAAAGTTTCATTTTTCAAAATGTTTTAAAACTATGCCATCACTAATTTAAGCCTGTGAAAAAATAACAACATAATCCTGTGGTTGAATTTGTTAGCTAATAAAAAAATTTAATCTCGCAATAATATAAAACAGTAGCAAGTGGATTTTTAATGAAATTGAAAAGTTATAAGTCCTGAAAAAATAGGCTCAGAAATTGCGTCCATGATATACCTAAACTGATTAGATTAGCACATCAAAATCAAATACACCTCTGGAACTAATTTGTATCTTAAAACTATGTGCATTTGAAGCCATTTATTCTGACTAGGTAATTAATTTAAAAATCTGTTACAAACAGATAGTTATTTAGTTACAAACAGATAGTTTATTAAATAACTTATTTATTAACAACTAGTTGATTAAATAAAGTCTTTAAAACAAAAGATTTTTACTATATACTAAATACCTTAAATACCAATGTTTTTAATATATATACAAGGGTTATGACTTTTTATCAACCCCGTGCTCCTGTACTGTAGTTTGATGAACTTTTACCTAAAAAGCACAAAATGAACAATTAATTGCATATGTTTAAAAAAAAGTTCACCCCGCCATTGAAAAATCAATTTTGACATAAGTACTATTATGTATTTAAATGTATTTAGAATGTCATAGTCATGTAATACAATAAATTTTTAATCTAACAATGACTCAGACCGTTGACCTTGCTCTTGCTTGGCGCACAGAAGGAATCGAAGGTGCAATTTGTCTTTATTTTTGCATGATGAATAAATTTCCTCTATTACTTTGATTGCGCGCTCGGCACATTGATTACTTCTGGGTATCTGTAATATCGATGGCTCTTGCTCTCAGTGATTTTTCTAACTCTCAGTGAAGAGCTTAAATCCTTTTTGTACGAAATCAGTATTTCAGTCAAGTTATTAAAGTCATTTTAGTTGCTCTGTAAATCAATGGTCTGCCAAGCCATACAATATAAACCGACATCCTTGTTGAAGGAATTATAATAAAGGCCAGGATCACTAGTATAGCTCTGGAGTTTCA